TCCCAATAAAATATCAATAATATAAAAACTTATACAAATATGATCATATATTTATAATAATATATAATGACAACAAAATAAATGTAAATCTAACTAACCAAAATTATTTTATTTTTATAACAGTATGAAAATAAGCAATAACGCTGAGGCCAGAATATTTTGCGACAAAATCCATTATATTCTCACGAAAATAGGGGATTTTGACTTAAACCATTATCACGAGTTAGCAATTTATTTTATTATTTGTAACTATCTACCGACTACCTGTGTTGATTATAAAATATTGATACGTGATAATGTAACTGAAATATAATTACCCAATATTTTTATAATAAAAAATAATTAAAATATTTCAATTCTAATCATGAACCAACATACTATATTAACTATCTTGGTTTATAATTCTAATCAAAACATTTACGACTTAAAACTATGACTATGGTGTTAACCTTGTAGGGAATGCCATGGTACACCCAGCATCCCCCCCATTTACACGCCGATGGTCAACGATTTCAGTGGACAAGAGAAGGCCTTTACAAGCAAAATCTACATTTGTTGCACCGCTGAATTCTATTTGGTTTAATTATTAAATATTTAACAATTTGTCGKTGTTTATAATAATATTTTAATATTGTCACCGAATTCCCAAAACGTCAAATGGTCTGTTGTGTTTTTCTTTTTACTTCATCAGACTTCGTCTAAGTGTGTATTAGTGTAAAATGGCAAAAAATATATTTATCTACTTATTGTCAACCGTGTCTGTGTGCTTAGTTTCTGCACATTTCGATTTAAATATTATTTATGTCTGATGTCTGTTTGTAGACTTTTGGTTACGTTTATTGATCTAATACTATTTTATTTCCCTTTTGAGTCTTTGACTTATAATTATTTATTAGGATTATACAGACGTTGGGATCGATTCGAGTTTAAAATATTTATACAGACACTTTTATTATTTCTGTTGTTGAACAATATTTTATGATGGTCTCCGTCGTAAAAATCATACTGAAGGACTATAATATCATAAACAATAATTACACATTAAGCTTAATCCTCTATTATATTTTATACTCTCTCTCTATAACATAATATAATCATTCTGTAGTTAAAACCGAATTCTTAGAGTATTAGTCATWTTATATACAAAGAATACGCGGCATAATATTATTGGATTGTATAATAAAATATTGTAATAGTGTTTGTTTACTGTKATTTTGTATTCCGTTAAATATTAGTACCTGATTTTAAATTTAGAATATATATAGATAATGTATAAATATTAACAAAGTTATAATATATAGGTATACTAAAATACTATTACCAAATTTAAGTTAATCGAAATGATCACATTGTTACAAGTGTTGAAAAATTTACATATTATAATATTATGGGGGGCAGTTTTATAGAATATCTAAACCGAGAGTAATGAGGGGAATTATAAGCCATAAAATATATCTACATATTATGTATAAATTTGACATTTTGAAAAATGATTCTTCCGACGCTTTACATGTGAAATAAAAATGGATTTAAAAAAAATCTCATTTTAAAGACGGCTGAAATAAGAATTGTGTTTTGTATAAAAGTCACTCAATAATTGCTTGCTATTTCTAATAAACCACAATAAATATACTGTGAACTTAAAATTCTGAATAAGTTTCTCCAAGGCGATAGATGTGCAATAAGACGGGATTTAAACAATTCGTATTTGAAAGATGACCTCACWCAGGAGTTTTTTTTTGGCAAACGCATTTATAATTTACGGTTGCCAATGCTATATAGTTACAAAAAAAATAAGATATCATGATTGGGAATGATTGATTATAATTTTGAAAAATKTACTATTTATTTTAAAACTGTCATGGAAATTTGATAAAAATATAATTGGTGAAGAAGTAAATCTTCTTATTCGTGGGAAACAATGAGCAGGATTAGTTACTTCATAATAAAATCAAAATTTGTACTCGAAGACTAAACCAAGACTGGCTAGATTGGCTTGATAAACTTAAATGTATTATCAAAATTCACCAAAAATGAAATATTTTGTTTTAGAAGTTGCAATAGGATCTGCCATAGTAAATTATTGTTAGCAATTTTAATGTTATTAAATAACAGTTTTTTATAATATATTTAATTATGTCGAAGAAATRTCGAAAAAAAATCAAGGTATCTTAGTTAATATTACATTACAGGTTTTTCATTTATTGAATCAGAAATAATTTGTTTTAGTTCAAAACTCGTATTTACACAYACTTAATTTATTTTTGGCAATTAATTGAATTACCGGTATTTTCGGTAGGTACCTATTAAATTTTTAAAAGATGTATTGTATATTAATATTATACCTTAACTATGTAGGTACCTATCTAAGTTAATTTGTGTGCCACCTCTTGGCTTCTCGTATGGGATATTAAATAAAAATAATTAAATCATACGCTATTTTATGTATAAGCTAAATTTTGACTGAGTTTTCAATCGCTATTATATACTATATATTTTTTGTTAATATTTTGTTTGAACTATAGGTACCTCCAACGAAAATATTAGTATGTTTAAATTATATATCTTTCATTTACTTTCTATATATTAGGTGATGATCATTATGAATTGCAAGAATTAGGATATATATATATATAAAAAAAAAAAACATTAATTTCAGTATTTACCCTATTATGTATTCCCTTTATTACCTTGTCAAATCAAATTTGAAATTATTTAATCAGGTTGTTATTATTATTTTTACTTAAGTTATTGAAATAATATAACTGTGGACCAAATTGCATATAAGACTTGGAAAGATACTAATAAATCATCAGTCCTAAAATAACGAAAAACTTTAAGTGTGATAAAGTCATTAATATAAAAAAAAAAAACTTTAAATAAATAATTATTAAACATGAATATTCCATATTATACAAATAGTGTAAATGTGTAATAGTATAACACCATAAAGGCCACGACACGTAGTTATCTAACTAAGTTGGATGTTCAATAATACAGTTTACATAAATTACATAAAATAATGTTATAGAATATGAACTTAAGACCACATGACTGTCCGCCGATCATCATGAATAATTCCACTATTCCTCATTGCAAGACTGTCAAATATCTCGGTCTCACATTTGACAGAAAACTCAC